CCTACCCTGTACTACATACCCTCTGCTCCTAGTCCAAGGTTCTAGGTAGTCAACTGTTAGCACAATAACTGAGTAAAATTGAATGCACATTTTTAAGTAATTTTTTATGAAAACTTATCTGAGTATTTCTCAGTATACTTTTTTTTAGATTTTTTGGTTGATGTACATGTACATATTTTCAGCATACATTAGTAGGGTGTCTACACTTAACATTCATCAATTGTATATTTCAAAGTAGCTGGAAAAAAATAATTTGAGAGTTCCTCACATAAAAAAGATAAATGTTTAAAGTGATACATATCCCAGTTACCCCAATTTGATTACATAAACTTACCAGTATACTTTTTATCATTATGTTAATTCACTATATTTATTTACATAAGAAAGTTAAAAATGCATCAAACTTAAGCTCCATTGTCATCTCCAATCTAACCTGCTTCTTTCTTACTTTCTTTTCTTGGTTAAGGAACCAATAAAACTTCATCTACACAAGTCAGAAACATAGAAGACAGCATCAACTCTGCCCTTGACCTCATCCCTGTTCCCTTACCCAATCAAAAAAGAACTTCTTGTAGCCCTCCTTTTAATCTATGTTTCTACCACCCTGGTCTCTCTGAGGTTTTGTATCTTCTAACTTGGACAGTACAGTAGCCTTCTCTCATCCAACCTTCAAAATCATGACTTTTCCCCCCTTAAAACACAAATTTTACCTTGTTACTTTCATTTAAGTTATATTACCAAGTCAATTGCCTTTAAGATATTCACTGCAGGCCAAGCACAGTGGCTCATGCCTGTAATCCCAGCACTTTGGGAGGCTGAAGCAGGCATATCACTTAAGGCCAGGAGTTCGAGACTAGCCTGGCCAACATGGTGAAACTCTGTCTCTACAAAAAATTAAAAAATTAGCTAGGTGTGGTGGCACACGTCTGTAGTCCCAGCTACTCGGGAGGCTGAGGCAAGAGAATTACTTGAACCCAGGAGGCAGAGTTTGCAGTGAGCTGAGATTGTGCTCCTGCTCTTCAGCCTGGGCAACGTAGCAAGACCTTGTCTCAAACAACAACAGATAACCACATCATAGAATATCCAGTGTAGCCTATCTTTAATGTACTCTCATACCATGCTTTCCTATATACCTTATGATGTAACTACACTAACCTACTTTCTGTGATCAGACCCACCAAACTCAGGTATGCTTAGACTCGCTGCTTCTCCCTGGAATGCTAATTCTCTGCTTGGCAAACCTTTGTACCTTTGTTAAGACCTTGATTAAAAGTTACCTCTCTGAAGCCTTCTCCATTCCAGCAAGCATTACAAGGCTTCTCTTCATTCCCCTGGGCATTTTCACCTACTGCCTCCCTCTTTGGTGCCATGTATCACATTAATTTATTTTTCTAACTTTTTTCCAGAATTTCATTTTTCATGTATATGTGGCAATGCATTTTATTTTTAATCTTTTCATTTTTGTGGGTACATAGTAGGTATATATATTCAGAGGATACATAAGATGTTTTCTTACAGACATCACATAATTTATGACCATCCATTTAGAAGCCTGTTTTGCTTGCTCACGGAGCTTGGTTTTCTTAGGGCAGGGCTGTGTACACCTACAAATCTTCACGTCCCTAGAATAATACCTCTAACACAACCAGTATGCAATGGTACATGTTGAACAAAGAAGTTAATGGATAAGTAAATAGAACCTACATGGTATCAGTCCATATTTATTGTTTATTTTTATGTTTTTTTTTCCTCTGAAATCTGTAAGCGTGCTTGATTGCTGCCTCTGCTTTTTTGTTGTTATTGTTTCTATTTAGAGGAGTCTAAGAGGGATCCTAGTGAAGAGGGTAATAACTTTGCCTGTTTTGTGATGCGGGAGGTGACGTCATGTGGTTCTGCCATTTTAACATTGTTCCGTCTGAGCCTGAGTGTTCTTTCTCTTGAAGATTCAAGCGAACCAGGTCAGGAGAATGACATCAGACTGTGCTTGTGCCTGATAATTCATTTCTGAAGGTGCAATATTAAGTGTCGCAGTGTCCAGCTGGTGATATTTTCGGCATAGAAACCTGTTAGACATGGCAGCATTAACGAGATGGAATGAATTGATTTATTTCTCTTCTGAATTGCTTGGCAGTGCCTCAAGATTGAGGCATCAGATTTGCACAATGTGCTACTTAGGAGATTATTTCTTCCTTCCTCCAGCCAGACAGAAGGCTACAGTAGGCAATGATAGCTTAAACTTGGGAAATGTCCTTCTTCAGAGACAGCATGAGGGACATTTCAGAGAAGATCAGATTACTCTCCAACTGCTTTCACTGGTGGACCTGAGGAGGCACACCCCTGAACCAAGTCTTTAAGGGAGAGAGTAGAACAACCTAGAAGCTCAGGAGATCACTCCAACTATTATTTTCCCATCTGTGGCTTATTGACATACACTTTGACATCAAGGCACTGACACTGACAACGTGAGAGAAATGAATAGATTAATTATGGGAGGAGTATTTTAAATGTTAAAGGCTTTGTCTAAAATAATTCACATTTTTCCATCCAGTGGTTCCTCTCTTTGAATCCTGTTAGAATGACAGTAGATCTTTTCATTCTTTCCCTGCTTTGGGCATGACTTTGAAGAACCTGAAGATGTGAAAATGAAATGGATACTGTGCTCCTTTTGGCTAGGATTGGGGAGGGACCACTAACTGATCTCTGCTACCAGCCACTTTCAACATCAAAGCTACTTTTTTCTTTTCTTTTTTCTTTTTTCTTTTTTTTTTTCTTTTTTTTTTTTTTTTGAGTGCAGATCTGGCTCTGTCGCCAGGCTGGAGTGCAGTGGTGCAGTCTCGGCTCACTGCAACCTCCGCCTCCTGGGTTCAAGGGATTCCCCTGCCTCAGTCTCCCGAGTAGCTGGGACTACGGGTGCATGCCACCACACTTGGCTAATTTTTTGTGTTTTAGTAGAGATGGGATTTCATTATGTTGGCCAGGATGGTCTCAATCCTAAGCTACTTTTAGCAGGATTGAACTCTGAGGTCATCCAGTGGCCAATTGTGATGCTGTTGTCATTCTTAAAACTGGAGTGACTTATCGTTTTTGGTGGTCTGAGGCTTGTGATTCCTGTTTTGCCATTTCTTGGCTGTGTGTTTGAGGACCTCTTATCCCTAGCCTCCTCATTTGTAAAAGAATCCTTTCCATGGACCTTGTGCATTTCATGGAAATATAATAGCATCTTGCAGGTGCCTGGGGTCTGGAAGATGCTTTGTAGGTGCTCTACCTTTCCCTGTGTGTTCCAAGTGACCCTCATCTGGTGCATTCTTCATTTGATTAAAGCAAGGAAGGACGCTTTAGCAGAGGGCTCTATCTCTTGATTGGCCCCTGCCATCCCCTGGCCCACTGTCTTCCCTATTGTGCACAGTGATGGCAGAGACAACAACACACAGCTTGCCCAAACACACTAAGCTGAATTAAAGCACCACCCAGGTAGAGGTCTATTCTATTAAGCAAGGATCATCCAGAAATTGAGTCACTATAACACAAGGGAAAGATTCAAGGATCACAAAGTCCCTGCTAGGAAGTGACCAATGAGAGCTGCAAAGGGCGTTTAAGTTTTGGTCCATCCCCAGATACAGTTCTTCCTTGGACAACAGCATCTCAGCTATGCTCTGGCTGAACTGGGAGGTGACAGCTGCCTAGCTTTGCTCTTCCTACTTGATATGTTAACTCATGCACCATTGTTACTGTGGTTGGGAAGTATGGTGGAACGTAGATGGAAGAAGAGAATGGGAGTGACATATTTACACAGTTCTGAATTTTGGGGGTGAGGGCTGTGCGTTTTTCCTGTCAATGTTGTATTTGTATCACAGCATAATAATGATTAAAAGCATACTCTTTGGAGTTAGACTTCCTGGCTTAGAATTGTGAACATACTACTTAATCGGCTATCTCTTTTGGCACATTATTTGACTTTTTTTATATCAATTTTCTAAGCTGTAAAATGAAAATAGTAGTAGTATTTAACTCATTGTTTCAAGTTAACTGAAATAATACATATGAAGTGCTTAGAATAATGTCTGACAAATAATGTCCACTCACAAAATGCTATGTTTGTTTTAGCTGCTGTAGTAGCATATCTCTGGTACCCTTGAGCAAGAGACTTTGGCTTTTGAATTTATTTATCTAAGATCCTCTAAGACAGCTGTGATGTAATTTCCTCCCAGCCAGCATTCCTGCAATCCCAAAGACCCCCCTTTTCCATTTTTTTGTCCTTGGAGACTTCTAAGGTTTAAAGTTATGTGTATCTTCTTTCCTTAGCAATCAATACCCATTACATATGTCTCACAATTATAACTTTTCCTGGAAACAGATGTTAATGGATTCTGTCCAACCCAAAAGACCCTCACTTCCCTATACATCAGCTCTTGAGTTTCCTAAAAGCCTGACCTTCAGTTAGAAAGTGATCAGGAAGCTTCTCAAAAAGCCTAGGAATCTAATCAATATTTCTCACTCAATGGTGATGATTAGTAGAGGACATCACCAGTGCACTACAATGTCAGATAAGTAACACAGGATGCAGGCTTCTGACATTCACCATCCATTATACATCCCCCAGGAGGTGGGAGAGCTTCAGGTTTCCATGGCAGCAGTCAGCCAAGTTAATTTGATGGCCTTCAAACAAAATGAACAGATAATACATAATTAAAAAACAACAACAAAAAAACTAGACACCCACTCGTAGTAGTTTTCAGGAGCCTGGGTTTTCTTTGGGTCTATCCAAATGCCAATGTCAAGAAAATTGGACTTCATGACTGAGAGTAAAGAAGATTTATCCATTCAGTCTAAAATCTCCATTCAAAGCTTTCTAGCTGAGAGCCCAATTCCCCTCTTGTTTAGGGATATGGTCCCTGTTTGTCTGTTTCCATCCACAGCTCTGCCAGAGACGAAAGCAGTGTTTGAAACAATTCACCCAGATTTCCATCTGTAATCATCAAGAATGGAATTCATCAAATTCCTTAAGATATTTACTGAAAGTCATGATTTTGAGGGCCTAGTCCTCTCTGGAAAAGGGACAGCAGCAGCCTCGAGCAGTTTTCCAGCTAACAAGAATTTCGTTAGCTATGTGGCCACCTAGTGGCTCTTTCATGAATGTCACTGATGGATTGTCAGGTACACAGACAATCGTCCACTAATAAAGAAGTTAATATCTTTCTTGGAATCTGACTTCCTAATTTTAGCACATGCGATGTGAGTTTCTGAATTCTAGAATCATCCGGCAGGACAGACGCTTTGAGAAAAAGGCAGAATAGCTATGGGGAGATGTTTGATATTTGGGAATGATTGCTGGTATATTGGGAATGCTGATGACAGGTCATCCGTCGGCGAAGGTTTTGTTTTGTGTCGTCATTGGTGTATTCCTGGCAGAACTGATGTAAATATGCACATGAAGATTCCTTGGTACAGCAGCATTTTGATAGTATCATATAGCAAGTATGGATTCTGATTTATTGTTTTGAGTGTTTTAAAAAGTGGCTGAACTGGACTTAAACTGCACAACCGATTTCCCCCATCCTCTCCCTTTACTCCCTTCCTGAAATGTACAGCCACGGACATCTCTGCTTGAAGTGTATAGCCACGGACATCTCTGCTCAGGTTTTAATTCTCATGTTTATATTTTATCTTGTTTTCCTATGGGTTGCCCTAGTGTCGGCATGTTATAGTGGTCAGTAGTTTGGACAGAAGTTTTGCTTAAACCCCAGGGACCTGTAAAACTTCAGCCCTCAGGCCACTGATCTGTGTGTGGGTTGGGAGTGTAATCGAAGCCCATCAGCTTTCAGTCCTCTCTTGGATTTTACTCTCCGTGGTGCTTTCTCAGATACCCACTCCCACGCATGTCACAGGGGTGAGTGGAGAGCTTGGCAACCCTTCCATGCTTCTCTCATTCTCAGAATGCCCCCCCAACTGCGACCCTAATTCCATCCATGGCTGGTCCACTCCTCACCTCAGCTGCACCTCCAGTCCCAGGACAGCCAAGTCACATCTTTGTCCTATTTGTTTTCCATAAGTTTTAGTATTTTTGCTTATAAATCATTTGGATTTCTCCTTCCCAACCCAAATCCAGTCCATGGAAGACCATTAGAAATGTAAATGTACAATTAGAAAAATGGTGTTGAAAAGGGCAGTATGTATTATGGGCTCTAAAGGGCAAGATCATTTGCTTCCAGATAAATCTGTGTCTGTTCAGAGCAGAGGGGACATGACCCAACTGCAAGGACAACCCCATACCCTAAAACACACCATCTTCAAATACAACAAACTCAAGTCGAGTTTGGGCAAGTGCCAGCTATGTCCATGTATGGGGTGGGGACTCCCGATGTCCATTCCCAGAAATCATGGCCAGTAACTGGCTCCACAGCCATGGCAGAACTGGGCTGACAAGGGGTCAACAAGTAATGAGGAGCTGTGATGTTTGATTCTGCTCTGTAGACATTGGAAGGAGAGGCTTCCTAACAGCATTTAAAAGGAATAGAAAGTCCTAAGGCCTGGGGTCTACATATGGACAAAACTTGGAGAACGTGACCTAAAATTGAAAAGGGGCTTAACTGTCAGAGGCTTCTGAGGTTGTTGAAAGGAAAGGGAAGCAAATTAGAAATCTAAAGAGATCTGAACAGGAAGCAATGAGTTGGGAGAATGGAGGGGGTATAAGAGATGTTTATTATTGGAGAGAGAACTTCGAAAAAAAAAATCACCAGAAAGTAGCAGTTAGTTAAATATGGAGCCCAAGACAGAAGTAATGGAGGGAGGATTTTGTCTGAAAGAGATATGGAGACAATACAAAAATAATGAATCAGAAAGGTGATCCTTTTATAAAGGAAATACGGTATCATCAAACTGTGCTTTGTTCATCCACATATGCAGTGTTCAGGAGAATAGGAAGATGTGGCTGTTCCCTAATTTTGGACATCAGAGGCTTATTGTTTGCTTTAATGAGGAAAGCATATATCAGATGTGGAGTTTCTGGGGTTTTTTCCCCCTCAAATTTACATAAAACGTTTAAATTAGCTTCCTTGGCTTTAAGTACACATTTGTCAACACTCTTTCTTAAAGTGGCAGCTTTGATTAGAACAACAGATGCAGAAAGAAAGCTCCTGTGGTATCCAGTGCTGAGTCACTGCCGTGCTATGCTGCAGGCAGGCTCCGCTCCAGGAGAAAGACAAGTCAGCGGAGCAACAAAAATGTCAACAAGGACAACAGTCTTTCTTCCTTCCGTTGTAGCCTTTATTTATTTCATCGAGTCAGAATATTTTTATTTAGCACTTGAAAACTTTATTTCAGTAAATGGAAAAAAAAAATATTGCATGTAGCTTTAACAGTTCGCAAGAAGAAAGTAGAGGACACAAAAGAACACCTTGAGAGGCATCTGTGTAAGCAGCAGCTGAAATCATTCCCAGGGTAACCCCCATCCCATAACAAACAGACAGGTAGGGGGTGGAGACAGCACAGAAATAGCACATTGTCAAGTAGCACATGATAAAGACCTTAGAAACGCTTCATAGGAGTTTTGAGTATGTCCTCACTTGAAGTACCCTTTCTGAAATTCTTGTAACCCTCTGATTTCTCTGTCAGCTTCTTAAGGAATTCTAGAGAGGTAAACCTAGGAATTTAGAATTGCCAGGAGTATTATGTGTTTTCCTTTCCTTCCACTGTTATTTTAAGGACTATCCTGCAGTTCTGTCCACTATTCTTCTGCCTCTTTCACTTTCAATTACCTAGTAGAATCCATGCCACTCAGCCCTGCCTTCTTTGGCATTTCTGCAGGAATTTCATTTAAACCAGAGTTAGTGCTAATGATTTCAAGTTTTAAAAAGTACTTTTACATTTCCAAAGAAGTAACTTTTTATATGCAATGTTTTCTTCCTAGACTGTAAGTTATCATCCTCAAAGTTTGGACTCTTAAAATAAACTAGAGTAACATTTTGTAGGAAAATACTATGGCAAGAGTACGAATTTTTATATTGCAGTAAAGAGCATTTGAAAGACCACGAGAAATGTTTTTCTGCAGCGTATGTTTATGATAGAGGGTGTGAATTCTACCGGTAAATATTAACAGGAAGAAGTTGCTTCTCTTAAACATTTTCTGTCTGGATAGAGGACACTTGAAAAACTACCAAAAATTTGAGTAGCAGATATCTAGGTAAGGTTGTAAAGATCTTGCATCCAGAATCCCAAGCCCAGGCTTGCACAGCCATTTTGGATATCCAATGTCAAGCTCTAAATAGAAACAGATGGTTAAAGATAAGTTGTTTACTATGAAATCTGTGAACCATGTATTTCCATTACTCATTTATATCTACTAATTAGAATAACCTTTCTGGATTCCGTAGTCTTACATTTATTCATGCTTTTATAGCTCTCCCTAGCCATTGCTAATTAAGCAGTTATAAAACAAATAGGCCTATTATGAAAGAAAGAAAATAATTTTGTTTTCCATTATGGGATGCCAAACAGTTTGCTGGCACTAAGGAGTGTCTTCACTCTCTACTCTCTGGGGGACAGGTTTGTCATTGTGGAGTGGAAGGATCATTAGAAAATACCCTGCTTTTCAGTGGAGGGGGCGGTAGGTCTGTATTAAGCACGATTCCTCATAAGAATGCTCTGTGAAAGAACTTTCATACTAATCCAGTGCCTACTGCACTGTGAAAACTCAGCAAAAATGAAGGAGGAAGAAATGAAAACAAACTCAAAATGTACTCAAGCCATGCTCATTTTCTTTCCCTTTGACATAAATCACAATTTTTGAATAAATTTTCTAATATAGACACACTAAGTCAAATGTGAAGTCAGCCCTCCCATTTATTGATTCGATAAGTAAAAAATTTAGAAAAGCAATCATGAAGGAAACTTTCTTTTCTGTGATTTCCAGCATTACTAAAGCCCTTTAACATACTTGAAGAAAATCTGTGGGTATGTATACTCTGACCAACAAAAGTCTGAAAGAATAGTGCTGCTTTCATTATTCCTAACCTGTATCGAAACTCTGGCACTGTTGAATTCTAGATTGCTCTGTTGGTCCGGTTTGAAAGTTTTGGATTAAAACATCCTTAGCAGAATTATATATTAGAAATTTAAGCATATCAGCAAAAAAAAAAAAAAAAAAAAATTCTAGGCTTCCTAATCTGTTGATAAGTACAGAGGATGTCCCCAGTGAATCAATGAATAGGCAAAGAACACAAAACTATGCCAGCATTTGAAAAATAAAAACGGGAGATACTATCTGTCAGGGTAACCTACCACTTGGCACTTTGATTGGGATCTGCGATTCCTCTTGAATCTTTACTTGCAGGTTTCTGTAATAAATAATGTTGTATTAGGAGCTGCACCAGATGTTACATGCATGTGCATCCACACACGGACATGCGTGTACACACATACATGTGAGCACGTACACACAGACCACCTCTACTTGCTCCTTGAAAAATCCAAGACTGTTTGCAAATTGCTTAAGACAGTTTGTAAATTCCTATGGGACTGGGGGAGAGGAGGGTAGATAGTGCTGGTTAAGCAAAGCTGTATCAGAAACCATTATTGGTTGTAAAACTTGTGAATCTTCCCTAGAATATATTAGGTAAGAGATCTGCAAACACTTTTTAAGTATTAGCACTTTCATTCTGATAACATCTCTATTGGAATCTCAGTAAAATTGATTTTAAACATGGACTGCATGGGTTCAAGGAAGAATTCATTCATACAACTCCCCCGGCTGTCTGCCACTTTCTGTAATCCTTTTGTGTGATCGAGGATCGTGTGCAACCACAGATTATAAACGAATCAACTAATCACAGCGTTTTAGTCGTCCATGAAGAAAGCTTAACGAGAATGGCTGCTTTTAAAAATACAGAGTTGAAAATCTGTGTGCATTCAGCACCCAGTTCTGAGTAAGAAGTGCTCTACTGAGTAACCTTGAGGATGTAGAGAGAGAGATTATAGTCACTTGGGCAATCCATAGAAATCCTGTAGTGGTTGTATTTTGTGTGTGTGTGTGTGTGTGTGTGTGTGTGTGTTTTGACTCAGTCTCTAATGCATGCGTATGCTAATATGTGCTAGTGTTTTGTTTCTCCCTTGTAAATAAAGATGCAGGGATTATACTGCCTCAGCTAACTAAGGGTTCCGGGGGAGAGACTCTGGCTCACTGAAAACCATTGCTGTGTTTTACTTTTCAGAACAGGGGCCAGGACTAGAGTGAGGTGAGTGAGGCATTGGTCTCTGGGGCAGAATTTAAGGGGAGAAAACTAATTCAGTAATTAAGATAAACTATGTGCTAATGTGTTAATTTAAAATATCAAAATTAATTTGCAAGAAAATGAATGTATCAAGATAAACAAAATGCCAACATTTTAAACAAAAAACTGAGTCTGCCCTGGGACTTGCCTGACTCACTTCCCCCTCCTCACCCTAACTGCCACCCTGTTAAGAAGTAGGTCTCTATGCCAGAGTGTCAGGATGTCCCATTTCTACCGCCAATCAGAGAGCTATCCATGTTATATTATTGGTCCTTTTCAAGGAACCAACAGATAAGTTTCATGAAAGTTATTATCGGAAAGGACACAGGCCGCCACCAAGAGGAAGGGGAGGGGGACATACCAGTGTGATGTAGTGGGGACTTGAAAAACTGGTGGGCAGGCTTTCCAAGCATTCTGGAGTTCTCTGCTAGTGAAAAGAGATACTATTAATCTGTAATTCCTAGTGAGTATACAAATACTAAAAGACCCAGACCTAATATTCTTGCCTAGGTTGTTATCCTACAACACATGAGTCTATCTCAGGACCTGTCTATAAGACAAACCTACATATAAGAAGAGTGGGGATTTATACGTTGTGATATGAATATGATGAGGCAGGTCTGTTAGCCACCAAATGTTACTATCGCTATTTGGCTGTACGCCTGAAATTCCCCAGCCAGCCACAGTCTTTTGGGCCTTGAATGTCTTTGAGAAACTCCACAATTTCCTATTAAAATATAAAAATTCCTAAATGAAGTTTTCTTCTTTAAAGTGTGTTCTGTTAACTCCCCAGTAGATATTAATACAACTAGAAAGCATGGTCCAGTGGAAGCAGGATCTGGGAGAGGCCCTGGAGGCCAGAGAAGGGAGAGTAAAAACAAACAAAAAACAAACATCATTAACATAACAGGTAAAAGACGCCAAAGACAGACTTCCCCCAAACCCCAGTTTTGCTGAGGACTGGCCTTTGATGGGTAACTGTGTCAAATAAGCATCAGTTAAATCATTATTGTTTATAATATTTCATGCCAAAAAATATAAAAACCCTAAATGTGATGTCTGAGGATCCAGCTCTGCTATCTGTGTTAATATCATGGTGTATATGCCATCAGCAGTAAATTGAATTTATTCACATATTCAGCAGATATTTATTCTTCTTCTCTTCTAGGTGCCCCTCATTTAACCAAAAAACCAAAAGCCCTTACAGGAAGCTTAGAATCAAGAATCGTAACAAATATGTCCTAGGCTCTATGGTTATTCATCACTGACCAGTACTCAGCCTACCTTTCCTGACTCCTCTCTCTGGAAGTCCATCTATTTTAACGTATTAATTTAAGGAAAATGTAATTAGGAAAGTAACTTTAACAGCACATGAGGCATAGTAGATTAAAATAACACATATTAAGTGCCAAGTATATACCAATCCCTGTGCTAGGCATATTTACATACAATTTCTCATTTAAACCTCACGACAAATGAATGAGAATTATATTAGCATCATGTGGTTTCATTCCTGAAAATCTCAACGTAAACTTAAAAAAAAACATACTTTTTTTTTTTTGTTCATTCTAATGGACAATTAAGACTCAGTTTTACCTTCTTGGAGTCACAGCTGCCATAATAAAGAGTAAAAATGGATAAAAATGATAACTAACAAACATATATAACCAGAGAAAGATTCACTATCTCTATACTCCAGTGAAATTCAGCAGAGGCATTTCCACTAAAATGTCATATATGTGTTCTGGGGGATAGAGTGGGGACTTGCTCTGCAACATTGTGCAGTAAAAATCACAAAGCTTTTGGCATGCCTAAAGCCATGGCAAAGCGTTCAAAACTTCTGGAACTGTGTAACCAGACCAGACCACCCCACCAACCAAAAATATCCTGATTTTAAAATACTGGCAATATTATATTTTTATTGGCACTTGCATCTAGCAACAGTCAGTTAATTATTAACCTTAACATTGGGGCCTTTTGATCCCTTCTTCATGATTTAAATCCTAACGGGCAGTTTCATCATTTTAAAGAGATAATCTTATCAAGAATCATGCTTTCTTCATCAGCTAGTTTTTTTTTTTAAAAAAGCTAATGCCTTTGTAGTTTCTTAATCTTTGCTTACAGGTTTTGTCTTGATCATTGTTTTATTGGTTTTTTTTTGAGACAGGGTATCACTCTGTAGCCCAGGTTGGAATGCAGTGGCATGATCATAGCTCACTGCAGTCTGGAAATCCTGGGCTCCAGAGGTTTTCGGTGCCTCAGTCTCCCAGCTAGCTAGGGACTACAGGTGTGCACCATTATGCTTGGCTACTTTTTTCTTTTTTTATATAGACAAAGGCTTGCCATATTACCCAGCCTGGTCTAGAACTCCTTGCCTCAAATTACCCTCTTGCCTTAGCCTCTCAAAGTGCTAGAATTATAGCTGTGAACCACTGTGCCTGGCCACTCTGTTTGTTTGTTTGTTTGTTTATTTATTTAATTTTATGTTATTTTTATACTTGAAGTTCTGGGGTACATGTGCAGAACATGCAGGTTTATTACACAGGTATACACGTGGCATGGTGGTTTGCTGTATCCATCAACCTATCACCTACATTAGGTATTTCTCCTAATGCTATCCCTCCCCTTGTCCACCATCCCCCGACAGGCCCCAGTGTGTGATGGTCCCCTCCCTGGGTCCATGTGTTCTCACTGTTCACCCCCCACTTATGAGTGAGAATGTGCAGTGTTAGGTTTTCTGTTCTTGTGTTAGTTTGCTGAGAATGATGGTTTCCAGCTTCATCCATGTCCCTGCAAAGGACATGAACTCATCCTTTTTGTGGCTGCATAGTATTCCATGGTATATATATGCCACATTTTCTTTATCCAGTCTATCATTGATGGCCATTTGTGGTGGTTCCAAGTCTTTGCTATTACGAATAGTGCAACAATAAACATACATGTGCATGTGTCTTTATAGTAGAATGATTTATAATCCTTTGGGTATACACCCAGTAATGGGATTGCTGGGTCAAATGGTATTTCTAGTTCTAGATCCTTGAGGAATTGCCATACTGTCTTCCACAATGGTTGAACTAATTTATACAGCTACCAGCAGTGTAAAAGCATTCCTATTTCTCTCCATCCTCTCCGGCATCTGTTGTTTCCTGACTTTTTAATGATCACCATTCTAACAGTTTTTTAAGTGAGTTGAATGTATTGGAAATTATAGCTGTTGCTACAATTATTGAACAAGCTATGATTTGCAGGGACTTCTGTGGGATTTTCAACATTTTTCTTAGATCTTCATATATTGCTTACATTTCTAGTTTACTGAATTTTCTCAGGAATAGATATAATTTTTTCAAATAATTTATCTGCATCTATTGATATGACCGTATGATTTTACACTTTCCCTGATAATACAGTAAATTAGCCTCATTGCTTTTTTGAATGTTAAAGTTTCTTTGCATTATTGCAGTAACACTTGATAATGTTAACACTTGATTTATTATCCTTTATATATGATCATGATGCATTATCATTTATCATGAGATTCAATTGGCTAAAATCTAATAATAATTCGTGCACCTATATTTGTTAGTGTATTAGTTAGTAGTGCTTCCTTCTTGTAATGACTTTTATAAGTAGGTGTCAGAGAAATATTGGCCTCAAAAAATAAATTGGGAATTTCCCCCTTCTTTCCAATTATCTGAAAAAGTTTATGTAGAATTGGTGTTATGTCTTCATGAATTTTTAAATAGAATTCACCAGTAGAGCCTTAGGGGTCAAATATTTTTTTGTTTGTGGAAAGGTTTTTACTACAAATTTAACGTATTAGATACAGAGTTATTCAGGTTATCTGTTTCTTCATGAGTAAGCTTTAGTAATTTTTATCTTTCAAAAATTTCCATATCATTGCACTGTCAAATCTATTAAAATAAGGTTTTTCATAATATTTTCTAATTATCAATTTAATATTTATAGTACCTTCATTGATGTTGCCTTTCTGATTCTTGATGTTAATAATACGTACTAACTAGTTAGACTGGATGGAGGATTATAAAATTTATTAATCTTCTCAAAATACATTTTCTCTGTTATTTTTCTGTTTTCTATTTCATTAGTGACCAATCAGATATTTACTTTTTCTTTTCCTCTGCATATATTGGGCTTCATTTTCTTTACTTTTCTAGTTTCTTAAAGTAAAAGCTGAGGTCATTGATCTTTTACTTTTCTTCTTTTCAAACATAAGCAGATAAGCGGTATAAATTTTCCTTTACTGATTTTACTACACCCGCGTGTTTTGGTACGTGGTATTTAATTTTCATCCATGTTAAAATACTTTCTAATTTCCCTTTTGATTATTCTTTTGAAATTTGAGTTCCTTAGAATTTGTTATCTAATTTTCAACTGAGAATTTTTCTAATTAGTAATATCTTTCCATTACTTATTTCTATTGGAATTTAATTCTGAGAATATATTTTGTGTGGCTACAATTCTTTTCTTTCTTGTTTCTTTTGTCTTTATATTTTTAGTAGAGACGGGGTTTCACCATGTTGGCCAGGCTCGTCTCAAATTCAGGTGATCTGCCCATCTCGACTTTCAAAAGTTTTGGGATTACAGGCGTGAGCCACTGTGCCCGGCTCAATTCTTTCAAGTTTGTTAAGACTTGCTTTATGGCCCGTACTGTGGTTTATGCTTGTAAATTTTTACAATAGTGCACAAATTAATATTTTATTCAACCAATATATTCTGCTCTGGTATAGTATCTTGGTTATTGTTCCATATTTGTTTTGAATCCTGTCCTCTTTTCTTTCCCTACATGTAGATTCAAAGCTTCACGTGTGTGTGGAACCATGTTAAGTTGCTCCTCTGCACCTCCCACGTCACTTAGCTTAGGATGGGTTCCATTTTAAACATACACAGCTACTTAAAAAAATCAATTAACTAACTGTTGCAAATGGAAGTTTCTTACATTTAGGAAATGAATTTCTGGCAGGATTGGCTCAGTCCTCATCTGCTGCTCATCACCAAAGTATCCTTTATTCTCCACTCCCAGGGTTTCTATAGGTGGGCTGTCAAGAAGGAAATTGAACACCTAATTTATTAGATATAGGGCTATTCAGGTTATTTATTTCTTCATGAGTAAGCCTTAGCAATTTTTATATTTCAAAAGTTTCCATTTCATTACAATGTTAGATATATTGAACTTTTTATATTGGCTAATTATCAACTTAATACTATACAATCTTCAGTGATGTCACCTTTCTGATTCTTTTTTTTTTTTTTTTTT